ATAAAAAGGAGGTATCCTAAGTCTGTCGATGAAGTAACCGATTATGTGTGTATAACGCAGCTCGTTGTTTGAACGTGTGTCCACAATCTTCGCACATATACGACCTGTGCTCCGAGTGAGTCAGCCGATGGGAACGGAGAGTGGCCAACGTCTGCAAATACAATACATTGTTATTTCATAATAACTATCGTGAGACATACTAAATTAACTAAAAACTGCGGATTACTCACGTTAACATACTGAGAAAATCTGTACTAGTTTCGGAACTTTTTTTAAGGGGGGAAAAATCATCTTATGACCCTGCGGGAGCCTGGGTGAGGCGGGAGGGAGTGTCAGACTCTTATTGACTAAACACCACTTTGTTCCCAGTCCTGCACTTCGAACTGGAGCCCCGGCAACTCGTTAATCCCTCTGTATCAGCATCAGCCTTATTGGGCCCCATCTGTGGTGGTCTGATGGCTCTTTGAGGCGCGCGTGGAATGCTCGGCGCCGTACGCTCGGGTCTGTTTCTGGTCGGACCCCCGTCCCACACACGCTCGCCGTCCGCAGTCCCGCGCTTACGGTGGCCGGAGATCGTCTCGCGATCCCCGACGCTCGGAGTGTCCTTTGCAATGGCTGCCACTAGTTTCGAACTACAAAGGGGTCCTTCCTCATAAGCAGCGTGCACGGTAGCGGTCGATATCGGTATGTCGCGCAGGCTACTACTACCCTTCTGTGGTTCAAAACTAGTAGAGCTTTTCTCAGTATATTCACGTGAGTAACCCGCGATTTTGAATAAATATAATATGTTGCTGTTATAAATATATATATACAAAAAAGTATGTATGTCAAGTCATTAAGTATGCAGGCAAGAAAACAAAGTTTGATTCAGTACAGAGTCAGTAACTTTAAAAAATATGTATTACTAGCGACCCGTCCCGGCTTCGCACGGGGGGACTTAAGATTTTTTACATAGTTTTACGTTTTATTTATATTTATTCTCAGTTTTTTTTATTTAGGAAGTATTTATCTTTTGAAAATATTTTTCCGGACTTCATTAAATGAAATAATCATTTATTTAATTAATTATTTTCTTCTTAAATAGGAACCTACCTATTATAAGGATTGAACCATTCATTAAAACGATTGTTATGAGTAAACTATAAAAGGTAGACATATGCTCTCGCGGACTTTTTTAAAAATAATGTTAAGATGAACAATTCATCTATAGAGCATTTTTGTATAACTTTAACTATATGCTCAGCGCACGCCACGGAAGGCCTCAGAAACGATACTTTTCCCCCGTTTTTAAAACATTTTTGGTTACTGCTCCACAACTATAGAACCTAGCGTGATATTATATAGCCTATGTTACTTCTGAATAATGCAGCTTTCTAATGGTGAAAAAATTATTGCAATTGGTCCAGTAGTTTTTGAGTTTATTCATTACAAACATACAAAAATACAAAAATACAAATCTTTCCTCTTTATAATATTAGTATAGACAAGGAATAAGTTTCTGTTTTGATGGCATAATCCGGTAAACGAGCAGACGGATCACTTGATGGTAGGCAATCGGCGTCGCCCATGGACATCTGGAACACCAGAGGCGTTACAAGTACGTTACCGGCTTTTTGGGATAAGAATTTGAGGACCAACCAACATTTGATTACACACCCTAACTTAATTTCATTGACGGACTGACTGACAGACTATTATTTATTTTGTATTTCGTACCTCCGGTGCTATACCGTCACTAATGTATTGCGGGGGCCCGCGCGCAACTGAACAATGAAACGTTGTTTTTCCTAGTGCCGTCCAGATTAGCGCCAAAACCGTAACGACAGTAATGTCAGTGTCATGTCAGTAATGTCGCAATGTCAGTTTGCTTACTACACAAATGACAATAACGCACCAAGTAAAGAGGTGGATTTGGAGTATTCTTTCATAATCAGTTATGATTTGACAAAAAATGCATAAGTGACGATATTGCACCGTAGGTGCGATTTGTTGACGTTTCAAAAGTACCAAACTATGGTTTAATTGAAATAAATGCTTTGACTTTGACTTTGACAACTACAGTAAGCATAATACAAGCAAGCAAAGAGGATTGAGCCTATATGTGTAACAAACAATCTATGGTCATAGTATAGTCTATGCATAACGCGGCTTAACACACACAAACACGTAATTGATATTATTCCTAATTCCATAAAACTCCAATAAGAAACATTGCTGTCGCTTATTCTGAAATACTGTCGAACTTAAACGATTTATTATGGCCGTATTTTTAACTATTGTCCCGAATTTTTTTTTTACATTGAACCTTTATGACTTCTGTGACATGCCCCCGAGAAATGACACGGCTTCAAAACTACACCTTGTATAACAGTAACTAAGTCATATCTTGTGTAACCATTCGTGGACTCAGTAGACAACCAATGGTTACTATCTCTGTACTCAATCAATCTTTGTTTTCTTACCTATATACTAAATGACTTGGTTAACTATAAAAAAGGTAAATAATCATTAAAATATTACTCACATAAAACTTCTTAGTACATAAATCGCAAGCGTGGTCCCTGGTTCGAGATAGTCCATGATGAATTTGCTTGTGGTTCTTCAATCTCCAATCTGATATGAATACCTGAAAGAGATAACTATATATAGTAAAGAGCATTGCTTGAAATTGGTCACTTCCGTTTTTCTGGCGGCAGTCGATAATTTATGAAAAATATTGTCTGGAATGACATTACAAACGAAATTATGTATGGAAATCTCAGACCGGTTTGAGTTATAAGCGTTTAAAGGAACAGCAGTCGGACATTTTATTTTGCATTTTTTATTTAATAAATTATTCATATTTTTCTCACAATTTTCTTAGTATTCGATTGTTTGATATCAACAAACAGGCTTCAAATTGTCTTTTGTTTCTTAAATTCTGTGTTCGAAATTCAAAAAAAGACTATTGAAAGAAATTATGAATGTGCCAGGTACAAAACTGCATAAAAACTTTTTGCTCGACCTAATATAAAATTTTAGCTAGCACCAAACGAAACTGAAAATAGTATATATAATGGTTGACTGGGAGAAAATGCCATATGGCATTAAGTCCGCCTTATGTACCTTATTTTGTGTGCATTAAAGTGTAAAATAAATAATAAAATAAAATACAAGGTGGGCCAATAGATGTGTCCAGAAGAGTATTAAGTAGGAAAGAAGTAGAATTAGTAAGATTAGGGCGTGCAAAGCTGAGGGGAAAATCCAATAATATTTCTGTTTATTTCTTACCTTATCACAACTATCACATTTATATTGCGATTTCCGTAGATGATAAAAATTATAATGATTCGTCCAATATACTTTTGACGCGAATTTTTTACTGCATTCCGGACAAGAATAGCTGAAAATAAAAATAAAATTATTTTTAGTTTCAAAAAGGTATTAAACACAAAGATAAGGCGTCCTAAAACTACAGAAGCGCCATCTATGTTTTTGGAAACGTTGCCCACCACACCACACTATATACTCCTGTGTCGTGGGAGCGTCTAAAACATACAAATTCACATACACGCTGTGATGTGTTTGAAACGATATAATTATATTAACGAAAAATCGATCGGTAAGACATCATTATAATTTTTTATGAATGACTATCTTCTGCTAGCGGTTTCGCCCGCATTCCCGTGGCATATTAAGTAGCCTATGTGTTATCCAAGACCATAATCTACCCATGAAATTTGGAATTTCATCACGATCCCTTCAGTTGCATTTCTTATAGAGGTAGTAGTACGATATTATGTAAGTTCTATTGTAATTAGATTTTGTCGTGTTATATTAGATTATTTCTCTTTTTATTATTAAATTAATTGTTCTTTTATGTTTTTTTTAAATGACTTTTTATTTTTTGGGTTATATGACTGATGTAAGCTGCTAGGATTTATCTTGCAATGTAACTTACGATTAAGACATTCAGGTACATTGTTTAATGAAACAAAAAAGGCATATATATATACAGCGCAATTGAGAACCTCCTCCTTTTTTGAAGTCGGTTAATAAACGAAATGTAAATTATAATATGCGAAACTTTGTATGTGTATGTTTGTTTCTCAGTCACGTCAAAACAATCAAAAGAATCGGCATGAAATTCGGAACATAGGTAGACGACGATGTGGTCATATTTTAGGTAACAGAGAGTATAGTGCCCTAAGATCGGAAAAGGAGGATCCTCCGACCAGGCGAGGTGATTGTGCACGGTGGGCTTTCTGCTCAACAGTTGTTCGTTCGTTGTAGCATACACATAATATAATTTTTTTCTTCTCTTATAATATCTTCTGATTCACTTCGTTGCGGGAACCAAGACAGTTATTCATGTCCCTGGTACGCGCCGGACTTCAGTGTTCCGGTGTTTGCATGGTTGTATCTACTGTAGATCCTGGCTTACAGGAGTTGCAGCGGTTTTGGGAGGTTATTGTTATTAAGATGATTCAGTATATACTCACACTTTCTCCGTATGGTTAGCACTGGACTTCAAATGATTTCTATAAACATATATGTTCTTATACTGCACATTACATATATTACAATAAGCCAGCTTCTTCGCTATGTTACCGTTATGTTTCACTATATGCGATTCTAGACGAGTCTTCGTTTTAAAAGTCTTCGAACATATATCGCAAATGAAGTCTCGAAGTACTGAATGTATACGTCTGTAGAGATAAAAGTTAAAAATTAAAAATGTAATTAGTCCGTAAGTTAGGTAATGACTGCCTCGTTGGCCGAACGGTCGCAAATGCTACTGCCGGGCAAGGGGTCGGGCTAACTATTATCTCAGTCGTAGCACGGTATCTGGAATTGTACCCGGTATATGGCAATAGGCTCATCCCCTATTACATGGGACTCATAACATAAATAGTGAAAAGTGGGTGTTACATTGTACAGTGGCATTAAGTGCCGTAATGTGCACCTCTGCCTACCCTCTTCGGGGATAAAAGGCGTGATGTTATGTAAACTATCTCCAATCCTTCTGCCAAGTGCGGAGATTTTGGGAAACCACTAGACACAAGAGAGTAGATGGTCGGCAGGCCACAACTGTGCGCTTCTCACGTAGCTTTCTGCCTCGCAAAACTGTGGAATGATCTGTAGTCGGTATTTCTGAACCGATACGACCTTCAAACCTTCAAGAAAAGAGCGTATTCCTTTTTAAAAGGCTGGCAACGCACCTGTAACTCCTCTGGTGGTTACCATCAGGTGATCCGTCTGCTCGTTTGCCTCCTATTCCATAAAATACTCAACTGGGACCCGCGGGACGGAAACAAAATAGATTTTAAGGTGTAGACTTACGCTATATGTCTCCTCAAAGTGTTGGTCGCTTTGAACTTGACTCCACATTCATTACAATGAAGAGAATGTTCCTTTTGTAAGTGATTTTCTAATTCTTCTGGAGTTCTGAAATAGAAATATTTTACTTCACATTGTTTAGAAGATGGAAATTTATAGCATAGACGGCGGGTTCAATTCCCGCACGGAACAAGGCTTTGTGTGATCCACAAATTGTTGTTTCGGGTCTGGGTGTCATGTGTATGTGAACTTGTATGTTTGTAAATGCTCCCTACACAGGAGAAAATCCTAGTGTGGGGCAACGTTTTAAAAAAATAGCATAGCACAGGAGAGCCATGCTTCGGCACTGCTGTATCGACTCGACCGGAGTGATACCACGGCCGAGCCGTACTCCGGCGTGAAACAACACAAGGGTGAGGTACAGCTGTGTGAGTGAGGGTAGAAGCTCATTCGTACAGAGCCATTTCCAGAGCGCAAAAGATGATCTGGTAGTTACTTAGACAAACAAGTACTTGATGGTAATTGGTAAGCAATTATTAGCGCTTATGTTAATGTCTCTTCGATTTCAAGTTTAAATTTCAATATTTAATTTATCTCCGATTACTAATTGTGTACTTGCCAACAAGTCAAATTGAATACTTTTTTCGAACTGTCAAAAACGAGAGTTTTCTATGAATTTTGTACGATATTGTGTATTGTGACGTCACGTTTTTTTAGAGTCAAACAGCGTACTTATTTCTTAAAGATTTGCTAAAATATACTAAAACTAAGTTGGTCATAAAATCAATTAATGAAAGTGTGATTAATGTATAATATTTAATTGTATTGATCAGTCGAAATAATTTACTTTTCATTAAGGAAAGTACCCAATTCTACTAGTAATTTTGACTGTCTTCGACAACGTTTGGGTTTGCCTGTCTCTTAACCATTTAGTATACAGGATGGAATTTTGTAATGCCACCTGACGGGGAAGTACTCTTAATACTTTAGGTAGAAAATTTTACTTAAAGAAAACATTCTTTTATTTTTGAAAAGAAAGAAAACTGTTTTCAAAGATTTTTAAAAATTCGCTTGCCGCACACGGTAATCGATCCGATTATCTTAGTATCTTAGCAACAATTTTAATTGTAATTCGATTTAAGAAATGTGTTGTTTTTTTTTCTTTTTGTATTACTTGTGTTATTAGTTTTAAGCTTTAATTCACACACAATGTAAATTGTTTTTGAAATAAATAAATAAAAAAATTTTTGAAAAATAAATAAATTAAATTAAAATCTGTAAAAGTTGCACTTTTATTGCATCGATTGTTAGTTATCTCGTAGTGAACTTCAACTCTCAACTCGTTTACATTACTCATTTTTCTTATAAGATTTAATGTAAATTTGATTTTAACAAAAACACATTATCACCCTGACGACCGATGCAATGCCAAAAGACAAGCTGTATGTTTTGTTTGTTTAAGTGCCTTCTACTGAATTCCATATAAAATCTCTTTATACATAAGTCTAGAATAACTTAATAATGTTTAAACACTTACTTAACAACAACATCGCACTGTGAACAATGTATTCTGTCCGGCTCATCAGTCAAATGTTTCATCTTACAATGGTTTAGCGCTGACCAGAGCTCATGCGCCTTATATCGACAACAGCGACATCTATAGCAGACGTAGTGCTTACGTCTGTGTTTTTCCGTAGCTAATTTTGTTGGAAATCGGACGCTGCATACTTCGCATTGGTAGGGTCCTATACTCTGTAAAAAAAGACACATATTATATGACATAACAACATAACACGCTCGTCGCGCTATGGAAAGGGCTTTGCTCGGAATTTCTTTGCGAGATCGGATAAAAAACGAGGAAATCCGCAAACGAACAAAGGCCGCCGACATAGCCCAGCGGATTAGCAAGTTGAAGTGGCAGTGGGCAGGACACATAGCGCGGAGAACCGACGGCCGCTGGGGCAGAAAGGTTCTCGAGTGGAGGCCACGTACCGGCAAGCGCAGCGTAGGACGTCCATCCGCAAGGTGGACAGACGACCTCATTAAGGTCGCAGGGAGCCGCTGGATGCAGGGCGCTTCCAACCGGCCTATCTGGAAGTCATTGGGGGAGGCCTATGTCCAGCAGTGGACGTCCTGTGGCTGATATGATGATGATGATGATTTATTTTATTTTATTGATTTGGCTCACCAACAATTGATTACACTTATACAATATAGGGTTACATTTACGAAAACTTAAATACTAGTGCATCAATCTATTATAGGTAAGCACAACATGCGTTATATACTTAATGGTTTACAAATCATAATGATCAGGCAAATCCAACCATTGACATGGATTTAACATTCAAAATAACTAAGAAGAACTAGTATCGGAGACAAATTGAATATTAAACTTAAAATTTAAAATTTACGGCACGTACAATAAAGACAATTGATACTTACAATGAGAACATAAATAGTGGGCAAAACAAAAAGTGAACATAAAGACAAAACAAACAAAAATAGTTACATTCGGGCAACATCACCATAAAGAATCAACTTAACCTTTACGCGAAACTTGCCAAGCGAGTCCGATGATGAACAACATAACATAACATTACGCCTTTTATCCCCGAAGCCTACCTGACAGAAGTGCACATTATGGCGTGATGTTATAAATTAGATGTTGGGCTAGTTCAAAACATTTTAGCAAATCGTAAAACGGAGATTGCAAAAGGGTTGTGACAATATATTATGAAAGGTGCTGCTTTGGATAACCAAAACAGCTATTTTTTAATATAAAATCATCATCATTATCATCAACAGCCTATAAATGCCCACTGTTGAGCAAAGCCTCTTCTCACACGTACAAGGTTCGAGAATTAATCACCACGCTTGCTCAATGCGGGTTGCCGATTACAGACTTATAATTAGAAATTATAAGCCCAGGTTTCCTCACTATGTTTCCCTTCACGATTTGTCAGTGGTGTCTAGATAATCTTAGAAAGTACACATAACTCGGAAAAAGTCACAATGGTACTTGCTATTAGTAGGTTTCGAACGCCCCCTCATGCATGAGAAAGTCTTAAAACTTCGGGCCACCACGACATTATATAAAATAGTAAATAAGAATAGTATTTAAAGGCTCAAAATCAAGCGAAGCCACAGGCTGAAGCTACTTAACTCGTCGAGTACCGGTTTTGTAGACACAATTATAGAACAATAGGTTGCGGTCACCGGTGACCGCTTGATGTTTGACAGTTGTTAATAATGTAAAAACTGTACCTCTGCATGTTTCTTCTGCATATGCAAACTATAATTTTCTTCTCTTGCGAAACCTAGAACACAAGTATCACACTTAAATGGTATCTTCTTGAAATTATGATGATTCCTCTTCGACTCCCTCAATCTCATCATCTCCTCTTCGCTCATAACCACTTCTATAAACTTCTTTTTAAACTCTTTTTCATCATCTTCTAAAGCTATCAACTTTTTAAATTGATTTTTGTATTTTTTATTAGCTTTTCTTAACATTTTTTTATCTGGTTTCATTTCTATTGTGTCTGTATATATTTTTTCTGTTGGTATACTTTCTTTATAATCTATGTCGTTGTTTATGGTTGGTTCAAAATTACTGTTCTTTTTGTCGAATTCATCATTATTTTTAATTTTGCTTTGAAGATTCTCGTTTGAAGCTAATGTTTCTGTATTATGTTCGCATTGGTAATTTAATTCTGCTTTTACGAATGTTGTGTGTATATCTGGGTTGTTTATTAGAGGATCATTATTGTATATGTATTCATAATTGTAGTTGAGATTAGTGGCAACTGATAGTGTTGATAAAGTTTTGATTTTCGTTTGCTGGAAAAAAATAAAAGAGGTTTAAAAATGCAGGTTGTTTAATTGATATATGAAAACTTTCGTGAGATATACTAAATTAATTACTATGTTTTCGGCTTACTCACGTAACTGTTAGACGAGGAACACAGAAGATGGTTTATCTTGATCAAATCAATCGCAAAAACATGTGTATACATTATTACATACACATGCATGTGCATGTATGTAGGATGATAAAAAATAGAACACTAGTACTTGATACATATTTACCACTTGTCGTGGCATGCAATTTTTTTAGTAAGTAATAATAATATCATCGTTAAATGTTTATGAATGTCAAATAAAATTGTATGTAGGTAGGTATGTCAGAATTAAACTATGCGACATATACCAATAAACACAGCGCCATCTATACCAATTCTTTTGTTTTCCTTTGGGAATATCAAAATTTTCTAGGATATAAAGTACCCTATTATTTATTCCCGATTTCTAACTTAACACCTGCAAAAATTCAAAGCAATTGGTTTAGTACTTACGGCGTGAACGTGGAACAAACAAACAAACTCACTTTCTCATTTATAATAGTAAGGACTAGGATACTTATAAGTTTCACATATAATTTAAATACAATTAATTATGTACCTTATTTGCCCATTTTAAAATAGTCTGTGCAGCTTGAACTTTCTTCTTAAACTTGTAGTACTTGTTCAGGACACTCCAGCATTCCCAACACACATTACTGATAGAATTCTTCAGCTAAAAATGATATCAACATTAAATCTTTACTACCTAATACATAAAACTGAAGAGTTGGTTTGTTTTCTATATAACTATTGGTTGAAATTAAATAATTCGGCCAGGCTTGTTGGCCGAATAGTCGCAAGTGCAACTGCGGGGCAAGGGGTCTTGGGTTCAATTACAGGGTTGAGCAAAACATTACTGGGTTTTTAAAAAAAATCTCAGTAGTAGCACAGAGTCTGGAATTGTGCCTGATATATGGCAATAGGCTCACCCCCTATTACATGGCATTCACAACATAAATAGTGAAAAGTGAGTGTTACATTGTACAGTGGCATTATGTGCCGTAATGTCCACCTCTATCTACCCCTTCGGGGGTAAAAATGCGTGATGTTATGTATATGTAAATTTTTTTTTTTGAGTGTTGTATTGTCTACTTAACAAGGAAGGCTATAAACCATCACGCTACGATCAATAGGAGGCGAGCAGCGAGTAAAACCGCGCGGTAGTAGCGATATTAACACAAATGCGAAAGTTTGTCTAGCACATAGCAACGGAACATTGGTAGGTATGATTTTGGCGTCTGTGTGTAGAGTAGCCAATTATCTACATAATCTTTAAATTTAGGAAAAATACTATCTCTCTTTTAGTTATTTTTCAGTGTTTAAATACTTGCAAAGTAGTACTAACCTCCAGTAATGAAATTTCCTCTATTATTGCCGTTATCTTATCCAAAGGAATTAAACGACGATCCGTACTGAGGCAAGCTGAACATATATTCCCTTTATCTCCCATTTCTTCACCTTATTCTTTACTATTTTAACGATTTATGAATAATTATAATATGAAACAAGAAACAATATCACAACAACAATTATTATTTTTTTTAAATCAGCTGTCTGATTTGATATCTTTGATTTTTGGGACGGTAACAGAATTTGAAAGCCTATTAGTATTATTATTACTGGATTATTAATATCGAAAACCAAATTATTCAGTATTAGGCAGTGTCTATAGAAATATTTGTAGGTATTTCTATCATGTTTTATTTTTCTAACATTTTATGAGCTCCGAATAGCCTGAATAAGTGCATGCGTTAGTCTTCGATTTGTGAAACAAAATCTTTTATCTGTCAATTTGACATTAACAACAAAAACAGCTGATTGAATTTGTTTGGATGTTAAACCGGCGAAAACTTTGTTTTTATTGAGTTTTTAATAGAGGATACCAATATGTTAATGTGTCGAATTTGCTTAGCAACTAAAGACAGTGACAATATAACCGATTCATCGTGCTTTACTAGACTTTTCATTCAAATCTTGGGCTTAAAAGTAAGTAATGTATAACCTCTCGTCCTGATATGTTTTCTGTTTATAATTCTAATAATAAAAGAGATGCTCTAATAGCATTATTAGCGTCTCTTTTATTATACGTATTTGGTTTTGCATACTTATAAAAATTATCCCAATTCACCAAGGCCATCGCAACACGCGTGAACGACCTGACCGGTTTTGCTAATTATTATTATATTTTGTATGGGATGATGACAGGGTATGAAAATTAAAAATCTAATTAGTCCGTAAGTTAAGTTATTAAAAAAATATTAGACACGTATTTTTTTATTTTGTCGTATAATAAAACAATACTTAAATAAAACGAATTTAAGTTTAGGAGTGGAGGCTAAAACATCATTTCTACGTATAGAAGAATGTACATAGAAGTGACGTCACGCGAAATTTCAAATCAATATGTCGCCGAAAGTATTTGTTTCTGTAAGAAAATAAAAAAATACATGTCTAATGATTTAAAATAATCTAGTACTATTGAAAATTATAATATGACATTAGAGGTATAATAAAAATTAGGCATCTACCCTATTCAAATTCATATCTTTATTCCTGAACACAGTACATTTAGATTCATTGCATGATGGTGCATTGAATGCGCAGTTTACCATGTTCCACCAACTACATTATAAATGACCAGTTCTAGCCTGTCGAAATTCATCTCCTAAATTTGTTCATACAAAACTAGTCTCTAAACATTGGAAATAAGGTCTAAAATGTAGTTAGTGGAGAGCGGTCACCGGTGACCGCTCTCCACTAACTATGTATGGGCTAGATTATATAAATTTTATCAATTATCAATTCAGTCATCGCTTTACAAGTTATCTACATCTACACTACTAGCATAAACTATAAAGAATAAAGATTATATTTTTTGTTAGAATTGAATAAGCTTCGAAACTACGGGACGATTTAAAAATTCTTTTACCGTTAGAATCCCACATTATCCTTAGTGAACATAGGCTATATTTATCTAGGAAAGGCTAGGCTTTATGTATCTAGGCTATATCACTACATAGTATAAAACAAAGTCGTTATCCGCTGTCTGTCTGTCCCTATGTATGCTTAGATCTTTAAAACCATGCAACGGATTTTGATGCGGTAATATATTTTGGAGTTTTAGTTCAGATACTTTTGTGGCTTACAACCAAAATAAAAATGTTGGAAATTAAACAATATGTCACAATTAAAAAAGAAGTAAATATTGAAATAAATAAAAATAACAGAGTAGACAGGAATTTAATCACTTAAGAAACCGTTAACTGTGTAATAACATTTGTCAATTAAATTTTTTTGCAAAGTTTTCTTGAACTTGTGGACAGGTAATTGTTTTATTTGATCTGGTATTTTATTATAAAATCTCGGGGCAATACCAAAAATACTTTGATACATTAGAGCCATTTTACATTTTCTGTGATCTAATCGATTTAAGTATCTAGTACGCATAGGAGTTTTTCTGACGTCTGATAATTTAACAAACAAGTGTAAATTAGTCTTTACTAATAGCGCTGTTTCCAGAATACACAGTGTGAGTAGTTTAAAGGATTTGAAAAAAGGTACATAACTATGTGTCGATCGTATCTGTCGTGTCGGTCGTATCCGTCGTGTCAGTCGTATTTGTCGTATCCGTCGTCTCGGTCGTATTTGTGTATCCGTCGTCTCGGTCGTATCTGTCGTATCTGTCGTATCGGTCGTACCCGTTGGGTCAGTCGTATCTGTCGTATCGGTTGTATCTGTCGTATCGGTCGTATCTGTCGTGTCGGTCGTATCTGTCGTATCGGTCGTATCTGTCGTGTCGGTCGTATCCGTCATGTCGGTCGTATTTGTCGTGTTGGTCGTATTTGTCGTATCCGTAGTCTCGGTCGTATCTGTCGTATCGGTCGTGACTGTCGTGTCGGTCGTGACTGTCGTGTCGGTCGTATCTGTCGTGTCATGGGACATACATGGGACTCATAACATAAATAGTGGAAAGTAGTTATACATTGTACAGTGGCATAATGTACATCTGCCTACGCCTTCGAGGATAAAAGGCGTGATGTATGTTATGTTAAAGATAGCAATAGACCCAGCGTCCCGAATGTTAGGCGGTAGCGAATTCCACAGTCTCATTGTGTGAACAGAAAACGGGTAGGATTAAAAATCGGTATGATGGGGCATGATTTTAAGATTAGGGAGAAAAACGCGCCGTCAGTCCTTAACATACCTCACCTAGTGGTCGCTAATTTTTTTTCCGATGTGTTTGGTATAGTTAGAAGATGATTCTGATTAAAGGTTTTATTTTTACAGGACTTCAATGAAATCCTATACCTATGCATGTGGTGCAGAGCTGTGTTAAGAAGAACTATGTCCATCCAGAATATAGCTTTGGAATCACAAGAAATGTTACAGACTCAGGTAGTAAGTTCTAATCGAACCTTGGATTTCTCTATTCATTATTATGTTTTTAGCTTATTCATACTAGAAGTTCGTATTTCAGTTACGTGAATAAATCAAAAATATAATAATTAATTTAGTATGTCTCACGAAAGGAATAAGCCGGTAAACGAGCAGACGGATCACCTGATGGTAAGTAATCGGCGTCGCCCATGGACACCTGGAACACCAGAGGTGTTACAAATGCTTTACCGGCCTTTTGGGGATTAGGAAATTGAGGATTGTTAGGGATTCAGAGATTGGGGAGATTGGGGAAGGGGAGGGATAATTAGGCCTCCGGTAACCCCACTCACACAACGCAATCGTTGTTTCACGTCGGTTTTCTGCTCGGCCGTGGTATCACTCCGGTCGAGCCGACCCAGCAGTGCCGAAGCAAGGCTCTCCCACACTTGTGTGTGATGTACCTAATATTTAATCTTTACAATTTCAGATCACAACCAATTACCTCAAAGACCAAAAAATGATACATACACTAAAAACTATAGAAAATTATCAAATAGACATACCACCAACAGAACATACTACAAACACAGATAAACAAAAGAAAAACAACACCCAAGAATATGAAATAACAATATATTCGTCAAACGATACCAAAAATAATGAACATAACGAAACACAATTCGAATTCCACGAAATAATTGACAGTTCAAAAGATTCCATTTTTGAAAATGATTTGACAGTTGCAAAATTAAAAAAACAAGATGTAGATTATAAAGAATATAATTTCGAAGTCATATTTTTGGATGCAAATGATCAGTTAGAGGAAATTAAGTTAAATAAGTTGAAATATAAGGATTTTGAATTCCAATGTGACGATTGTGGAGTTGGATTTTTGACTAAAGACGTTTTGGATGAACATACGATTAGACATACTAAGGTGAGTGCTTATTTATTTACACATTAAACGCCGCGGAGGTCATCGGTGACCGACGTTAGCGGAGAATTTACCTTCAACAATTTTCTATTGGCAGTCAAAGGCTTTTAACTGCTTGAATGTCAGTATATGAGTTACAAATACGGAGCCGCGGAGAACTTTACGGGTTACCGGGGCTCCGGTTCAAAGTGCAGGAGTAGGAACGGGGTGGTTTTTAGTCAGTAAGAGTCTGACACTCCCTCCCGCCTCACCCATGCGGGAGCAGTAATTCGTATGAGATACAATAGAAAACACATTTTGTTTCGCTTAGATCTGAACAACAATCTGTGGATCACACAAAGAGTTGTTCCGTGCGGGAATCGAACCCGCGACACGTTGCGCGGCAGCCAGTTGCCCAGCCACCGCGCCAATCGTGCAGTCGCAAGTGCGACTACCGGTCAAGGGGTATCGGGTTCGATTCCCGGGACGAGCAAAGTATTACTGTGTCCTAATGTGCCTCTGCTTACTTCTTCGGGGATGAAAAGACGTGATGTCATGTTATCTAATTTAAGAAAAAAATACAGTTTTCTTATTTCAATTTCAGCTCTCGGGCCCATATAAATGTGTACTCTGTTCCCTATACTTTAAATCTCAAGATGTGCTATCCCAGCACAGACTTTCTCATAGACGAAGATTCAAATGCTTACTCTGTTCATACGCCTGCAAACGTTGGGCCCAATGTTTGTCACATAGGACCAAATGTGGTGGCATTGTGGAGCCAACCATATGTGAAGAATGTTCTAAGATATTCAAGTAAGTATCTATAAGGGCATAAGGTCTATATTCCAATGGTAGCGCAACTCAGTCACCGCTACCAACAATTTTTTTTATGGCACGATCCGGCAAACCGACACACTTGAGAAGTGAGGGGTGGTCATCAGACAACTGTCTTTTTTATCATAATTAAGAACCTGTAGAAGGCCTCTACTAGTCTATGGAACTTCTCTACTTATTCCTACCAATTTGCCTGCTCTTGGACCTGCCAAGCCGGTAAACGAGAACGGATCACCTGATGAATAGAATAGAATAGAATAGAATAGAATAGAATAACGTTTATTTCTCTAGTTAAATAAATATACTATTACATCATCACTTAAAAATAGAATTTTTACAAGTGCATTTGGTATGTATTTT